ACCTGAGCATGGTCAGACCTACCTGAGCATAGCCAGACCTACCTGAGCATGGTCAGACCTACTTGAGCATGGTCAACTTCCTGAGCATGGTCAAACCAACCTGAACATGGTCAGATCTACCTGAGCACAGTTAACTCACCTGAGCATGGTCAACCTACCAGAGCATAGTCAGACCTGTTTGAGTTGGGTCATACCTGCCTGAGTAGGGTCAGACCTACCTGAGACTTACCTGAGTGTGGCCAGATGTGCCTGAACATGTGCTTAGGCGGCTGTATGATTCCCTGGGATCCCCTGCAGCCACTGGTTGTGGACTGAGGGTTAGTCAGGGTCTGTGGTTTTCTCTACTTTTCCTACATTTCGTATCAGACTGGTCTCCAGCCTGTTAGTGTTGTGGGCCGACATTGCCAGAAGTTAAAGTGTGTGACTTAGAAAGTTTCCTCACTGCGATACGTAGGGAGCCGTGTTTGTAGGGTTTTATGAGCCCTCTGACACACAGCCTACCAACTCCCTCTGCTCGGTGAGAAACTTGGGGTCTGTGTGGGCCCGTTGGGTGCCCAGTGCCCTGCGGCCCTGACCAGGCCCATCGGTGTCACAGTGCAGGCGACCTGGATGGCCTACGACATGGTGGTGATACGCACCAACCCCACGCTGGCCGAGTCCATGCGGCGGCTAGAGGACGCCTTCCTCAACTGCAAGCAGGAGATGGAGAAGAACTGGCAGGAGCTGCTCCATGAGACCAAACAGAAGCAGTAGGGCCCACCCACCCCGCCACCTGGCCATGGAGAGGGGCGGTGACCCACGCGCACAACTCTGCATCCAGTACTGTTCTCAATAAAGTTATTTTCAAGCACAAGCTGAGGACCCCCTTCCTCCCTGCGCTGTGTCTACCTGCCACATAGCAAACTTTGTTAGCAAAGCATAAGAAGTGGAAGAGGTGGAAGCGGTCATTGAGTTAAACATTTATTTAGTGCCCATGCTGCTAGGCAGAGGGTAAAAACCAAAATAAGGCTCAGCCAGCCACAAGCCAGGCAGAGGCCGAGGCAGTGCAGTGCTCAGAGGAGATGTATCCACCTTGCTGAGAGTGTGCTCAGAGCGGGTCGCACTCACGTTCCCCACAGCTGCCCTGATGACAGAGACCGGGACCCCACTTTACAGCAGAGGAAGAAGTCAGGTGTGTGAGCCACACAACTCACATTAAACCAGCCTGTGACTCTCCAACGTGACTTTATCACAAGGTGTCATTGGTGGGGATGTGGGGCGGGGAGAGAGCCCTCTGGAGGTGTGGACAGGGCTGCGAGACCAGGCAGAGGCAGAGAGGATGAGGGTCTACGGTGCCAGTCAGACCCGAGAGCTGCAGGGTGGACCCCAGCTGGTCTCCTCCAGGGCTCAGAGGGCAGAAAGAGGAGAGGGAGGGTGCTTTCCAGGACACTTTGGCCCGAGGTTCTCTCTTACTCTGGCCCTCTCACATGGCTCTTTGCTACCTGGAGCCCTGGGGACAGAAGAGGCCAGCCAGTGCCCTTCCTTGGCCCAGCACTGACCTCTGGGGCCTCGTCGGCCACAGGCTGCTCGCGTCCAGGGGCCTATGGACAGGTTGTTCCTGGGCAGTGCGAAGGTGTGGTAGAGGTGAGCCTGGCCCGGGGAGCGCAGAGGAGAGCTCTGCCTGAGGCGGGGACATTAGAGCTGAGCGGGAGTTTTTAACCAGGTGGAGGTTCGGGGCAGATGATGTTCCTGGCGTTACAACAGGAGCAGTGTCATAAGGGCAGGAACAGCAAGGGGACGGAGGGGGAAGCGAGGCTGAGGGTGTCCGGTCAGCTCACAGGGTCAGGGCCTGGGCTGGCTGGAAAGCTGTGCTGCTCTCAGGACAAGGGAGAGAAGGGGTGGGGACAGGAGCTTCCAGAAACCATGGGAAATCTCTGAAGCACGAGGTTTATTAGAACAGGACAAGAGCAGAAATTTCTGGATCCCAGCCCCATCCCTCAGCCGGTGTCCCCGCAGCGATGCAGGGTTTCCCTTGAGGTCCCAGAGCGCAGCCCGTCCTCCGTAGGGGCTCAGAGCGCCGTCTGCAGCCGGTCCGCGGGGGGCAGGGTCAAGACGAACGGGCAGAGGACGCCCTTCCTCCCCACCGGACAGGGCTGCAGCTCCTTGGCCTCGAACTGAGCCGTGGCATCGGAGACAGTGAAGGTGGCGGTGACCTGGTGGTTGAGGCAATAGATGGTGTCGCCCAGCACGGTGCAGCGCAGGGGCACGGGGTCCGGCAGGGGCAGGGAGGCGGCACGGCTCCAGGAGCCTGTCACCGTGTTGTAGCGCATCACTGCGGCACCCACGCCTCGCAAGAGGTCAAAGCGGTAGAGGAAGCCGCCCAGCGCCACAATGTCGCTGCAGCGCCGGTGGCTGGCACTGTAGGGACACTCGTCCCATGCGTCCTGGGCAGGGCTGTACCTGAGCAAGCGGTAGAAGAGGTGGCCCCCTGTGACGTAGATGTCCCCACGGCAGGCCACAGCCTCGTGTGCCACAGGGAAGGTGCCCGCAGGGAGGGGCGCGAGAGAGGCCCAGGAGTCTGTGCGGGGGTCGTAGCGCTCCATGCTGTAGAGGCATTCACCCCCGATGGCGTAGAGCAGCCCGTCCAGGGCCACCAGCTTGAGCTGGGCTCGGGCCTGCTGCATGGGCCGCACCTGGCTCCAGATGTCGGTCAGAGGGTTGTAGCAGAAGACCTCGTTGGAGCAGACGGCCTTGGCCCCAGAGCCGCGGATACCTCCCGCCAGGAACAGGTAATTGTGCATAGCACAGAGGCCGCAGCCCCGGAGAGGGACCTCCGCGGGAACCTGCGTCAGGGGCCGCCACGTGTTCTCGCGAAGGTTGAACACGTGCAGGTGCGTGGGAGGCAGGGGCGCCGACCCGGCCGTAGGAGCCTCCTTGCCTCTCTGGGCGCCGGGGAGCCCCAGGCTGCTCACCTGGTAGAGGCTGGGCAGCACGACGACCCCGAGCGCGGCCTGGCCGCGGCAGGTCCGAAGGCGCAGAATGCGCTCGCGGTCTGCGCAGCTCAGCTGCCGGTACAGGTGCGGGTCCCCAAGCACATGCAGCAGGTTGTCGCTCATCACGGCGTAGGTGTCCCGGGCCAGGCCGCGCGCGCCGTGCTGCTGGGCGAAGGCCAGCACCTCAAGGCAGCTGCCCAGGTCCAGCCGCCGCCGCAGCGCTGCCACCGTGGCCGGCAGCTCCGGGGGCTGAGTGCTGGTCTTCCGCGGTACCTCGGCCACGCCCCAGGCCCCGGGCTTTTGCAGAAAGACCATGAGTTTGCGGGCCTCCTTCTGCTTCTCCGTGAGGGCTCCCCCGCGGCCTGCGGGCCTGGCCTCCCACCCCTGCGCCCCCTCCTGGCGCTGCCCGGGGGCGGCCGGGAGGATCCCCTGCCCCGAGCTCTCCACCACCTCACAAAGGCTGCGCTTCCTGGGCCGGGGTGTTGGCCGGGGCTCTGTGGCGCTGGGCAGAGGTGAGCCCCGGCTTTTCTCCTCAATTCCGGTTCTACCTGGGCTCAGCGCTCGGCCTGGGGTGGGAGCCCTGTCGGTCTGGGAGCCTCCCAGCTGCAGCTGGCGTGGCACTTCAGCCAGACCCCTAGTACCTGCCCCTGCAGCCTGCCCCACTGGAGGAGCGCGCCTTTCCTTGAGGCTGGGGACCACCCCTTCAGAAGGAGGACCTGATAGGCTGTTCTTTGCAAGGTCCTTGGGAGCTATCCTTGGGTCTCTCCCTTGGGGCCTCTCTATCCCGGGGAAGGGGTGACTTTTGAGAACCATGGCAATGAGGTTTCCCCAGCTGCCTGAGACTTGCTCCTCCTGACAGCCCCTGGAAAGAGTCATTCTGGGCTCCCGGGAAGCTGGACTCTGCACAGGACTGGTTGGGGCTGGGGCTGGAATTGGGGTTGGGACTTGAGTTGTTGTTGGGTCTAGGGTTGGGATTGAGGCTGGAGTTGGGGTTGGGGCTGGGGTTGGGGCTGGAGTTGGGGTTGGGGCTGGGGTTGGGG